ACTGTTAGCATTGTCAGTGAGTTTTACCATTGCCAAATTTAAATTGATAGAATCTAATAGCTCTTTAAAATAAAAATAATTGTATTGGAGCAATCAGTAACATTCTTTCAAATCTTTTTTGAGGAAATTAGCCAAAAACGTATATTAACAATACAAGACCTTTTTTGTCAAATTGTTGGGCGTTTAGGTGACAACCATCAAAATATAGGCTAAACTACCTACAACTTTTTATTTTATTTCATCCGAACATGCTAAAAGGCCTAGCTTCCTCCTTTTAGGACTCTCCAGCTCTCCGTTGGCTCAAGGTCAGCAAGCAAGGTGAAGACCCCTTGGCCTAAATGATGTGGCCTAAATGATGTAGATTCAAGTCAAATTTGACCAACACAACATAAACGTTTTAAATGCTGGTGTGATCTCTATGAAAACAGGGAAATGATCTTAACACTGTGTGTGTGCATCTGAAGTGATCGGAGCTGCTCTGTGGGGAAACAGGCTCACTATCCGGTCCCTCTGTGATGGGCTGGGATGTGACAAGCTGCCAGCTCATATGGTGTTGAGCCTGAGTCACTTAGCTCTGGTCTTCAGGCTCAGACCCCTTCAGCCCAACCCTCCCATATCTCTCTCCCTCAGCCTCAGCCTCAGTCACACACACACGCACGCACACACACTATCCACACACACACGCATGCGCACACACACACACAGACACACACACACTCTCCCCCAGCCTCATTTGGACCATTAGGGCCAAGACAGGAGAAGCCTCGTTCTTGTGCACAGACCCCACTTCTTCTCTTTCATTTTCTGTCATCTTATTTCCCGACGCATTCCGATCCATTCCCCCATCTCGCTGCCCTCACATGCGGACAACCCGTCGGGACTAGTTGTTGACGGGGGAGTTAACAGCGCATTGTGATGGTGTTTAAAGGGTTCCCGCTCTATATGGCTGTCTGTCTAACTGGCTGAGTCCATGCCTCCCGGTGATGGAGCCTTTTTAGGTCATCCATCCGCTCATCCATCCGTCCATCCATCCATCCGTCCATCCATCCATCCGTCCATCCATCCGTCCGTCTATCTATATATCTATCTTTCTACTCATTTATATTAAGTGAAAAAGACTTAAACTGCTCATTGAGGGGTTGTTGTTGTTGGCAGACTCAATCCTCTCATATTCCAGGTGTCTTTTATTTTCAGTATCTCTCAGGGAAATCGTTTTTTGGCAGAGGCTGGGTGAGAACAAACTCTATTGTTTCTTAGAGAGCAGTCACACAAGAAAGACTCAAATGTCTCTTAATCCCGTATCTTAATTTCTGTGGTATGAAATTGAGTCTATGAATTAATGGGAAATGTCAAATTTGTAATTCTGATACCACTTACAAAGTTTGTATTACAACGTACAAAGACACCAAGTTTCTGTCTCCACTTTCCATTCCTACTATTGCACAACATTGTTGTTTATCAATTGTTGTTTTTTTATAGATCATTTCCTGATCATTTTTTAAGGAAGTGTCCAGGAAAGGCTACTGTTTGTTATTTCATAATATTTTACTCAACAATGAGAACATTTTGAGTTTAGTTAAGAGTCAATAACAAGTTATGGCTTTCCAAACTTTCTTTTAAATAACAACCTAATTTAGACCCAATGTTAATATTAATCAGTTATTCATTAATTAACTAAAACTTTACTTTCCTTTTATTGTGTGTTTAGCACTAATTTAAATACTCACAAGGTAAGGTTAGCAATGACTACAAATTATTTGATTGGAGTTGTGTTAATTAAATACAGTCCTAGTACCAAGTAGTTATTTCCAATTTTCTTTGCAATAATTGAGATTTTTTTTAAATTGTAAAAGCATTTGCACATTTTGGATATACAGTTTAATTTACAATTTACATACAGGCTTAAAGTAAAACCAAAAAATACTTTTCTCGCTTAAAATAATAATTAACAGCCAAACAAAAATCAATACATGCATTTACAAATTCTCGCACGACTCCTGCAGTATAATCCAAGTCTCATGTATTGAGTCCCCTGCTCACTACTTCCCAAACATTCGCATGTGTGCTAAACCTTCATATTTATTACTCTTTTGCTTGAAAGTTTTCTTCAATCATTTAAGGTAAGGATGGTTATACAATTGGTCATTTTGGGGGTGAACTATTCCTTTAACATAAATAAAAAATGTTAAATAGCGAATCACATAAATGAGACACTTTTCATAACAAGAAGGGGAGGATAGATGTATTTCTCTCCAAATACCCTTTAAGCTTTGGCCATACAAAACATTAAAGCCTGCATGGTCTCACAATTTATCACAAAGTCCAACTGCCTGCCACTCTCCCAAATGAATGTATGTATGATAGGGTGTGTTGATGTGGAGAAAACATGAAGCGACGAAGTGATGGAGCGGAGAGGAAGGGTGGATATCTGCGGAGGAAGGGAGTAGAGGATGAACGAACCAAAGGACAGAGGGGGAGACACAGGACCATTACTACACTGTTTGACATCATCAGGGATTCACCCTCCGGCCAGAGCCACTAATGGGGGTCTCTCTGCCTCTTCTCTCTCTCATCCCCTATCCACACACACACACACTACAATCACATTCAAAATGCACACTACATTACAGATATGAATTAATACATGCTTCACTGCTTGGAGCCCTACACCATGTGAATACACATGTGCACAAGTATGCAGCTTAGCCGCCATATCCAATCCAATAAGGTTTTCATGCAGAGTTTAAAATAACAAATCTACACTTCCTTTCATCTCCTCAAAGTGTTTTGATTTTCGTGCAAAGCTGTACTGTACATATTGTTTTGCTGCAATGATATGTACAGATCCCCTTTTCCTTCACAGGTAAACTAATCCTGTGTAACTTACCATTCATGTGAGTGTTGATGTGTCACCTGTGAGACAAAAGGGAAACAGTTTAGACCCTCTGTTTCACCCTGTACCTTGAAAGCCACACCACTTGTGTTTCTCTTTGAGGGAAAAAAGGCTTACAGCGCCACGCTGCTGAGAAAAGCCAACTCATCCCCACCAGCATTTGTTGTGCTCTGCTTAATCTAATTCAACTGCTAAAAGCTCTGTGACAGCAGCTCTTTTGCTTCAAGCACATAGTCTTACATGGAACCAGCAACGGAAATAAAGATGAGCAGGAGAATAAGCAGAGTGGAGACAGGGAAACAGAGAAGGTAATGCATAGAGATAAAAACATAGATGGACGTGGGATAGATACAGAGAAAGAGAGAGTAGAGATTGGTGTTAGTGGTGGAACCATCACAGAGGCAATGTGTTGACTGATGCAGACAGCTGGACATGGATTTTTTAATCTGTCTAAATAGGATCTGCCCAATGCAAGCTTTTCTCCCAGAACAGCAGGCCCAACACTGGAGTTGTGACAGCCAGACCACAGCATGGGACCACAGCACTCGGAGATGACACCACTGCTGTCTGACTGTGTGTGTGTGTGTGTGCGGTATGTGCGGTATGTGCATACATCTGTGTGTAAAAGAAGAGAGAAAAAGTCAAACAGTAATACACCCAGTCAAAATATCTGCAAGTCTTGCCAACAGAAGTGTCAGATAAATGTGGTCGTTTTTGTTTCAGATTTCCATCTGAACCTTAGTTGTGATGCAGTTTGCTGTTGACAGGACACATTTAGGTGTGACAGCTGTGATGTAACTCAGACACAACAGTCAGGTTTCCACCAAATGTAGTACATTACCATATAGTGAGAAGACTCAAAACTAAATGTGAGCATTTTTTTCATCCACAGTTTTGCAGGATATATAGTCTGAAGGAATACGTTCTATGACCTGGAAATTAGTTAGCATCATGCACTTCCTGTTCCCTTCCCAAAGTTAATTGGTATTTTTTAATGGGTTTTTGGTGACATTTCTGAAATATTGTTGTTATCTTCACAAGCTTCAGATTCTTAAATTGTTTTATTCTACAACATTAAAAACATCTCTTGAATTAGGAAGCTTTTTTACATTTATTGAGGCAGCTAAAGGTCATCAGCCGAACAGTATTCCACTTTTAGCTCACAGGAAGTCATGCGATTTTGGTAAGGTTCAAGTATATCCTTTAGCATATGCTTTTTACTTCTGGCAATTGAATTCAGGCTAAAAAAACTGCTGTTCATTTCTAAAGATTATTATTAATGCTGTCAAAATTATCGCGTTAACGGCGGTAATTAATTTTTTGAATTAATTGCGTTAAAATATTTAACGCATGTTCAGAATGGCCCGCCCCATACATCCCACCAGTGGCAGCGCCAGGGTATGGCAGGGGTAGGCTACACATAGATATATGTGTTTATATATATCTATGAGGCTACACCCATACCAAGAAATGGCTTAGCCCCACCATGAAAAATGATGTTAAAGTAAGCAAAATAAAGTCTGCCAACTCGCGCGGAGTAAATTGCACAGACAGCAGTTAGTAAGATTGATTTCAGTAGCCACTTGTCTCGAAATACCGAAGACCAGAAACGGTTTTGAAAACTTTTGTCACGTAGTGATCGTCTTCTCAATAGAACATCTTTGATAATGTCTTCTGGCCAATCAGAATCAAGATAACAGCGTGGTATTGTTGCAGGAAGTCCCTAGTACGGAGAATACTTTTGCTGTAGTACAGGGGTGCACATAATTGGTACGCAGGTTATGTGCGTAATCTGAAATGCGTACCGTCACTTGTGTCACAAAGCGCATTTGCGTACCGACGTACTTGTGAAGCTTTTCCAGAAGGTGGTTAGATCACCGGACGACAGAGTCGGTCTCCGTGTGCACAGACCGGGCTGCTGTTAACGTCGGTCTATACAACGGAATTGTGCCAAAACTACGCCAACTGGCTGCGGAGGGAGACTCCCTCCCTTCACTGGAGAACTGCGCTAAAACAGCTGGGGCCTCATTTATAACGCCGTGCGTAGGATTCACGTGGGAAGGTTGCTTACGTAGTAGAAATCCAAAAAATAGGTACAGACATTTTCCGATTCACCAAACATTGCGTACCGGCGAGGAAAGTGCGTACAGCACTTCCTACGCCAGTCCACTACGGTGGCCCTGAGAGGCCAGGGTGCTGCAAATAAAAGAACGCTGCAAATAAAAAAAACGCTGCAAATAAAAAGAAACAGAAACGCCGCGCAAATAAAAACGCCGCGATGCAAATAAAAAAGCCACAACGGAAGTGAATTACCGGGGACTATTATTGCTGATGCACATGCGGTTTTTTATGCGAGAGAAGAAGAAGGCTGGGGGATCTCCAGGAAACATCTCATGGGTAAGTTTATAATGTTAAAGTTACACAGGATGTAGATAATATCTGTCGCTACCGTATTTATGATTTTAAATTACGTTATGTTGTGTGTGGGAGCAGATTATGTGTGTAGTGTATAATGTTAGTAGAACATAGCTTTGATCAAAACTGCAGAAAGCTATTTTCAAGTTGTTTGCTTGTCTGTGAAAACTGTTTGATTCTGCTCGATTTAACCGTGCAGCTTGAACCGTTTTAAATCTAGACTACCCCACACACACACACACACACACACACACACACACACACACACACACACACACACACACACACACACACACACACACAGTATTCTTGCGTGTTTAACTGCCTGAGGCTTGTCTTGCCCTTGTCAGTGGGGAATGTCGTGATTAAGACACACTTGCAATCCATGTTGGGATATTCCTTGTATTAAGCCAGCGTTGAAAGTAGTACTGATTAGTCTTTCCAAATGTGTTAGTGTTATTTAAAAACTAGTGCAGTGCCCGTTCGGGGCATGGCCGTTCAGAGCTAAGCGGACCGATTGTTTGGCTCCCATAATTGCTGCTTGCAATGTTGTCCGGGGGGCGTACCCGGTCGGAGCGCGTAGATTCGTCAAAAATAAAGGTTTAGAAAAATGAATCCCAAAAAATTCTAAATGAAGGATGCACATCATCGTGCAATCCGCAAGCCATATCCGAAAGCTTAGGTCGATCTGACAAACAGTCAGAGAGATATGCGAGCCACAGACACACACACAGACATTTCTTGCTTTATAGATAGATAGATAGATAGATAGATGTTCATGCAATTGAAGCGCAAAGCAACCGAACCTAATGATACTTTATTTGTTTTGTTGCAGGTCATAATGTATTGTCCTTTTTGTGGACAGCAGCAGGCTTCTAAATCAGCCTTTTGCTGTTCATGTGGCAAGGACATCAAATTCCTGTGTGATGTTGATAAAACAGGCACAAGTGGAGGTCATTTTTTTTTTTTTTTAATTAGGCTTAGGCAATGTACACTCTATATCTTATGAGTATGGGTGAGAACACTGTATGTCTCTCTGTTCTTTGTCATTGACGATTGATTGGACTCTTATTTCAAGCAGAGGCTACAGGAAAAAGCACACTGGAGTTATTTCGGACTTTCCGGAGTGTAAAAGAGAAGGAGAGACGAGCAGGTTTTAAGAAAAAAAAAAACACCATCAAAAGACAACCTGAAGGTTGTGAAGGTTAGTGCTGGGGGGAAACGATTATTTTGAAAACGATTAATCGGGCGATTATTTGATCGATTAGTCGACTAATCGAACGATTATTTTTCTGTTGTTCAATTCATAAAAAACGTAATGTAAAAAAAAATTTTTTCACGATACTGTGTCTCAGGGGATCTTAATATTTAAAAACCTATTAATGTGTTATACCAGATTAACGGAAATAATCTCAGCTAACTGACGATACAAACCATGTTTACCAAAACAAAACACAAGTCTCATAAGAAGCATCTAAATGACCCCTGAGCGAAAAATGCTAACGGACATTGGCACAGAACTCAAGATAAAAGTACCCTTATTACTTATCGTAGCTGCACATACAAGATATCCGATTAAAGCTGAGACTCCACAGATTATGTAGGTACATAGTATCATCACTGAGTGATCCGGACTCGCGACAGGGGAAGCAAATACAGTCATCACAACACGTACCTTCACAGAGCTTCTAGGGAGATTGTCTCACCGCCGTAGCTGTCAATCTGATCAAAATACGTGTTCAATGGCATTCAAATGAGAAAAAACGCGGCTGAATCGGTTAATCCATAGGTTTTTAACGTCTATGTATAAAAAAATTATTGAATTTATCATCCATAATTCCATTTTAAATCGGAGAGCAAATGCTAGCTGCTAATGGTTGCCACCACAGCTAGCTGCTGCTTCCGATCAAGCAGCAGTCTCAGTGAGATATAAATATATAAATATCTTTGCGTTTTGGACTAACTTTAAAATATTCCCATGCTTTTGAAGACCTAGGGCGAGATGTTTTCGTTTGAGGGCTTCGTGCGCAATCCTGTGAGGAGGAGTTGGTAGCCGTTTCAGTCTCCATTGTGTTAGAAGTGCGATTGCGAACTGCTTGTTGCTTTGGGTGACCCACGTGTGTGTGGCGTCATACAGTCTATGGTGGCGACGCGTCGACGCGGAAATATGTCGTCGACGATATTTTGAAGTCGACGATGTCGACGCGTCGCTACAGCACTAGTGAAGGTACATTTTTTGCTGAGATATACTAATAATTTGCCGACAGTCCATTCTGTCATGTATTTATAGTGTCACTGAACTAGTTAACAGTCGCCTATTTCATTGTTTCTCTGTAGATTTCAGTAGGCCTTATGAGGCTGAAAGATGGTGTACTGAAGACTGTAAGAGGAACAGTACTTCCCCTTTTGATACGACCAGAGTCGGATGCGGACGAATTGCAGAGAGCTGCTGAGCAAAAAATGAAGACCTTCGACAGCAATTTACATGGCGGTCCCTACGTACTGCTCTACCCTAACGGTACAAAGATAACTAATATACCAGGAACAGAAGTACCCTTCACTCTAAACGAGTACAAAGAGGTAGTGGGGAAGGCCTACCAACGTATCACACTGTACATTTGTACAGCTGAAGATTTCTTTACATCTTGTAAGTAATTGTGAAATGAATTACCAACCAAGAAGAGCTTTTTTAATTGATTTGTTTGTCAAGGAAAGCACTCTGTTGTTCTGAGTAGTCTAAAATCCTCTTATACCTATTTCACAGCTCAGGAAACCAGCTCTGAATCCAACTCATCGGATTCAGAGGTGATCATCATGAGTCCAACTTCTGCAGAATTCAATGCAGCTGATACATTAGTGAGTACTACATTTGTTGTATCTTAGATCGCTTATATTGTAAATTCTATCTGGAAGTGAAAATGTTTCTAGATTTCACATCGACGGCATATTTTTACGATGAAACATGTCCCAAAATAGCATTTTAAATTGCGGTAAATGTTGCAGCGTCCTGGCCTACACATATTTTACAAACTTAAGAAAACAACTTTATTTAGTGCAGATCCCTGCAAAATCACACCATAATAATTTGTATGTTTTTCACTGAAAGTGATAATGTAAGAAGGATCATTCCCCCTGTCGCAAATCACATACACTATCAGTCAGAATAATAGAATTCAATATTTATGTTCAAATGTGTTAAGCTCTAGTTCTGTCAAATTTGAAGTGTCACACTGATATATTGTTTTTTACTTCCAGGTATGGGAACCTGCAGATGGAGAGTCAGGCACTGATACAGCAGCTCCGGTAATTGTGGCTCCTAAACATTGTCTATTGTTCACATTTAGCCTTGTCTGAAAATATTGTCACACAATTAATGTCTTAAACTACATGAAATAATGTGTCACACTGACCCAGAGATCCACGTTTGTGTACATTAGAATAGTCTTTTCTTTCTAAATCAGCCCTCTGATAGCCATGATTTAAAATACTTCAACTTACCTGTCCTATCCCTGTTATGGTTTGTGATTCAGGTCTTATTTTCTGACTCACAAGAGGGCCCAAGAACATCAGGAGGTGTGCTGGAAACTGCGTGCTATAGGTATTATACTTTCCTTTCTACAATTCAAGTATGTTTTATATGAAAACATCAACAATGTAAACTTGTGTATGTCAATTTCTCAGCAAATATACTCAGCTGTATGCGCCCATTGTAATAGAGCAGGGCTTCTCAAACTCCGGACCAAGGTCCGGATCCAGACCAAACCCTGTGTCTCATTATATTAAAAAAAATTATAATTAAAAAAAAATCTGATTCAGATGTAAATTAAAGTGGACCTATCATGCTATATTGGAAAAAATATATTGTAGGGCCATACCTATACAAATATAGGTCTGTGAAGTTTTTTGCTTAAAATACCGAACAGTTCACCCATTGTAGCCATGTCTCATACTGCTCATACCCCTCTTGTGCAGCCCTGTTAGAGAAATGCGGATTTTGGGTCCTTAGCTTGAAAAAAAAAGAGGAGGTGGAGCTAATGCCTGATCAGAATTCTACCGGAGATAAAGTTAAATTCTGTTGTAATAAAACGCCATCCTGTTCTTATCCACATCAAGGATTATTTCTGAAACCGTATGGATCTCAAATGCTTTTTCTCTTGCAGGTTTATCACAAGGTGAGTTCCTTTTTTGATTTCCTGCTTTTTAAACACATGTGCTCTGCAGTACAGGTTAGCTCTGAGTGTTAGCGAGGCTTGCTAATGTAAACAAAGACGAGATTACGTCCAAAACACGTTCAAAACGCGTCAGGCATTGTTTCTGATAGCAATTTTCTGTGGGTCCGCTGCCGATTTGACGTCAGATTGGCAACAAATCTGTATCCGCTCGTTGTACCCCTATTTTTAAAAGATTTGGGTACGGAGGAAAAGAGAGCGGGTTTTATTTTCTGACGCTGCGTGAGTTCCCCGACGCACCGGGGACACATATTTATGTATAAAAGACATCACAAAGTGCATTTTGCATGATAGGTCCCCTTTAATGTATATTGTCTTGTGTCTGACGCGTTCTGAGAATGAACGTGCATATATTTACTTGTGTGCGCGAGTGTCACACACATTTAAGTTAACCACAAGTTTACCTTGACTTTCTAATGCTTCTAATGCCATTTTTGCCGAGGTTCAAGGCATTGGCTACAGATAAAGAGTGCCATTTCTCCCACTAGTTCAAGCCATGATACTGTATGTATGTATGTATTGAATGTCTGTGTGTATACAGGGCACCGTTTACCGACAGGCAAGTGCTTGGACCAGAAGGGGGCCCCCAAATAAGGTAGATTAATCCAATCCAATCCAACTTTTATTTATATAGCACTTTAAAACCTCCTGACTAAAGTACATGCATAGCGCTCCGAAACTGCTTCTTAATTTCAGTTTTGTTGCTCCGCTCCGGGGGTGTGTGGGGGGGGGGACTTTACTGGCATTGATCCGGACCATTGACCTTGTATAAAATTCACAAGTGGACCTTTAACAAAAAAGTTTGAGTACCCCTGTAATAGAGGATAAGGATGACTCAGATAGTGTTGAGTGCAGTCATGACATTCCAGAGGATACAAAGTAAGAGAAAAGTTACCCTTACTTCAACTGTGGTTGTTATTTTTCCTGATCAAAAATGTGTGCTATGGTGTACCATTTAACATGGTCATAATTGATCTGATGACAGGGTGGACCAGCAATCACTTTCTGAGATAACTGCAAACCTGGCCCTAGAGATTGACCATCGAGCTGTCAGCAGATTTAACATATGTCACTCGAACATCTAGGATGGAGCAGTCAAATTCTCTGACGATGAAGGGAGGTTTGAGGAAGGTCTCGATACAGGTGGCCCCAAGAGAGAATTCCTCTCCCTTCTCATGAAAGAGCTGAACAAACGGCCCATATTTGATGGACCTGTGGAGAGCCGCTACCTGGTCTACAATTCAACAGGTTCTGTTTTGTGTATAATGTTTTAAAAGAACCCATATTTCAACCTTGCAGTGTTTTCAAATATGGAAACTGATTTAATATTTCTTTATTCTGCATTATCTTAGACAGCTATCAGAGAGGATGAGTATTATTTAGCAGGGAAGATGATTGCTGTGTCCATTGTGCATGGTGGACCTGGTCCTAATTTTCTGTCAGAGGATCTGGTCAGCTACATCTCAGGGCAGAGCAGTTTCAAGGCATCTGTCGGAGACATTACAGATGAGGAGATAGGGAAAGTCCTACAAGAGGTATGAGAAGGGTGTGAAATTCTAGAATAGGTAAAGAGAGAGTTTTGTCCACTTAAACCATTCTTTCAAGATATACTTCTGGCATTACCATTTTTTTATAATTACGTGTCATATTTGAAATGTGTGGGACTCTGTTATCTCTTCTTTTAGATTCAGAATTCACCCTTAGTGGAGATCCTTCAGGACTTGATGATACGGAACAGTGCCATGTTGCAGACTGCTGGGTGCTTCAGACATGTCAGGTCATGTGAAGAAAACACAATTATTGTAGAGGATTACCTGAAGTGGTACATAATCCACAGGAACAACACTGCAATCGAAAGGTAGGTTTTTGTATTTCATTGTTATTGCTAAAATAATTATGAAAAACGTGTTGCTGTTGTCCCATTTTCTTGCTTACTTACTTCTACATGATGCACACATGTATCTTTGCATGCATCTTTTAATTGTATTTTAGATTCAAGGCTGGACTTGAAAGTTTGCAGTTTCTGACGGCTCTGCAGCAGCATCCGACGGTTCTGACCCCTGCTCTCTGTCATGCCGATGTGAAGCTGTCTGCTGCAGAGATGGAAAATCTGTTCCAGCCTGAATTTAGTCAACAGGGAAGCAACAGAAGGGCTCAGGAAGAGAAAGCTATGAGTTACTGGGCAGACTATCTTCTCGATTGTGAAGGTTAGTCAATTTGCTCTTGTCTGATTTTTATACACACAGATTATAAAAAGTTCCGGTGTTGATGTAGATAGTATTTACTATCAATTGATTCCAATGTTCTCTACTTTTTAGAAAATGACAGCTCAGTGACCTTGGAGGAGGTGTTAATGTTCGCTACAGGTGTGCCATGTGTGCCTCCTGCTGGTATGAGTCCTCTGCCACGCCTTCAGTTCCTATGTTCTACAACGTCAACATTCCCAATGGCAAATACCTGTGCCAACATTTTAAAGCTTCCTCTTTTGGACACTTATGGTGCCTTTAAAGCCAACATGAACTTTGGCATTAATAATTCCCCTGGCTTTGGGTGCCTTTAAACAATTAAATAACTTGTGGTAAAAGTTAATGTTGCCACACACAGTACACAGTCCGTTGTTTTAATGTTGCGGTCTGTCAGACCAAAATGTTGTGACGTAAGAGAGATGTGAGTATTTTTCATGGCAGATTTGTCCTATTTCATATCTAAGATGTGAACAACACCACACATTTGTATTGTTATTGTATTCTCGTTAGGTAGGTAAGGTAGACCGTGGTTAAATCAAGAGTTCAGAACATGTGTTAAGATGTTTTACAAATATTTACATAAACAGTAAATAAAGACTACAAAAGGCACCTTGTCGTGCAAATGTGCCAATTTTGTTTTGGCCATTTTATCATGTTTTTACATGGACTTTGTGAAAGAGTAAAGCTGAATGACTCTTCATTAAATGGTTTAAAAGTGTTTCATTTTAACATAAGGACTTGTTTTTCTACGTATAGCATATATGTTACACATAGCTACAAAGATGACACGGCTGTAGCTGGTTCACAAGATTTTATTCTCAGATCCACTGTGAAAACAGAAATAACAGTAGCATATATGACTGATGCAATGAATGTTATTGTTGATTCATCAATTTGTTATGGGCTGTGTCTGAAATCACTCACTACTCACTATATAGAATTCCCTATATAGGGAGTAGTGAATGAGAGTGATTTCGGACACGCCTTGGTCTTTAAAATGTCAGAAAGTGAAGCCTCACAGAACAAATTAATCCAGCAAATAATCACATTTTACAGGCTGGAACCTGCTTATATTCAAAACAAAATTAAAATCAATTACCAAAATATTAGGTGTATAATTTTCTGACGATGACCATTCAACTGATAACACGGATGTAACACTAAACATGTTTTACAAAATACATGAATATGCTGTATGTTTATTTAAACAAAGAAAGGTTTCAGTCTAATGACAAGCTGAATATTTCACTGGACTTATCTACTCAGAATTGCAGCATTCTAAATAATATTCAACCTACATTGGAAACTTGTACACACAAAAAAGGTTCTGGGGGGCTGGTGGGGCAATGTATTCTACACTCCAGACATGTTTTTCATGGAAATGTAATTCTGAACAGCAGCTGTCCAGTTCACTGGTGGAGCCAACCCACTCCGTCTTTGCAAGTCCACAAAATGCATCTCCAGATTCTCATCACCACACAAATTGTACTGGGATGATGCTTGCATGATGCCATCAAAGTGGTGTAGGGCTTCCCAGGACACTGGAAATCCACACTCCCTTCCGCCAAACCTAAGACCAGTCATAAATTGAAACATGAGTCAAGTGATTACAAATGGATCATTTAACCCCCCAAACATGCTAGATAAGCATTATAACTAAAACTCCATTGAGTCAGTTCTTCGTTAATTAAATCCTAAAGTTAATCTCAGGTTGACAGCAGCTCTTTCAGTCAAATATGGTCATTCTACTCACTTTCTAACACAAGGTACTTTTTGGAATTGAGTAAGATAAATCGACAGAATAGCTTTGGACATTTTCTGATTTAGGTTTTGTGTTGGAATCCAGTTTTAGTCGTTTAAGACTTGAAATCATTTTTTGAAATAATGAGTTTTCAGACTAAATGAATCACGTTATTTATCAAGTGACAAACTTGTCATATTGGGCTGATACACCAAATTATATGAAGTCAGATATATTTTAAAGTAATATTACCAAACAATTTCAATACAAACCTGTGAGGCAGGTGGTACATGGCATCAGGTTTACCTGATGGACACTGAGACAGGCGAACAGGTCGGATGGTGTGGTTGTTCCACAGCTGTCTGTACTCATCGAGATCTTTTTGTAAGATGCCCAAAAACACATATCGCAGCAGACACTTGTGCTCATGGCTCCCATTGAAGAGGTGCCTCTCTCTAAGGTCACTGAAGAGCTCGATCCAGAACTGAGTCCTAATGGTGGAATTCAAAACTTTTTCATGAAAAGTATTTCATGAAAAAAAGACAACTTCAAGTAAAAAGTCACAATATTTTGCTAAAAAGTCACAATATTTCTAGAAATGTTGTACATTTCTTGGTGCGCTCCTACATTATTTGATTTGGGAGCACATAAACTCCCTTGGGAAAATGTTAGTGTACAGCTCTAATGTCATTTCATAATTTTTTTCATCCAGATAGATTTAAAGTATTTGGGCACCTCTGTACTATATACACACACACACATACATTCTTGGACCTGACCTTAAAAGGCTATACCTTTGCTTTCTGAAGAAAGACCACCAACTCTCGATGCGCTGATTTGCAGTTGAGGTACCATACATGTGACTGAGGGCTCCTGCAAAATCATCTGTGTGTTGAGATCGTAATGTGCAGTTAATGGCTGCCATAGTGCCGTTTTCAGTTCCACAGTCAGTGCGAAGGCAGGCTGGAAGTAGTCCAAACGCCGATACACACTGCAGGTAATACTGCGCAATGATGCCCGGATCGTTGTTAGTGCTGCCACTCCTGAGCCACATACATTTCCTTGAAAAGCCGTCGATGCAGCCACTGATGGCAATACCAAAGGGTTTAAGTTTATCATATCCATCAGCGTGCCACACTTGGTTTGCTCCTTCGGACAAACCTTCGCCTGGAACGAAGTTGAACACCAGATGGATCCAGTCTGGAAATCGTCTGTCTAACATCCTCCCTTTTTACTGTCAGGTGATACTTTTGTTGCAATGTCTGCCACATAGCTCTGTAACCCAACAGCCGACCCGAGCCTCTCAGTTCATGTGCAACAGTTTGGTGTACAGTGCCAATGGGAGTGTAGTCTGTCGTCCTTGTTAAGCCAGCGTTCTGCAGCCTCCTCTTTAAGGTCCTCAGACTAAGAAAAATGTTGTGTCTTTTTTCTAGAAAATCAAGTATCACTTCATAAGCGTGTCCCACCTTGAAGTACTTGTGGATGAGGCCTGCCTCGATTCCTTCATTAGATTCTGTGACTGAAGGGAAAAGACAACAGTGTCATTAGGAATTAAACTTAATAACAAAAAACCTATTAAGAAAAAAATGAAAATGTATCTAATGAGGAAAATACCTGAACTGTTTGATGCATAAGTGTATGTTTTCAGTATGTTCAATGCGTGAACAATTCCAGACATGAGGAGCAAAAAATAAGAGAAATAAACAGGCAAAGGACAAAATATTGGGATACTTACATAATTGGTAAGGATAAAAATACATATCAATCTAGAGGTAGCGAACAAAAAGGTACCCTTTTAATGCCTGTATTTGTGCATAAACGCATCAGAAGGCTCAACCCTCAGCACATGAAGGAGCACATAATTGGTCAACTTTGGTATTACACCTAATTTTTTTACTTGTTGGCATTTTTTTTTATCAGTAGTTCTAAATCATGTTGAAATTGCCATGACTGACAATAATATGTGTATAGCATATATTAAAATGGCAACAAATCATATACAAATAAGACATTATCACTGTACTGGTGAAATTCTTGACTTTTAAGGAGGAGCTTACCATCTTCGAGAAAGGGAGCCAAACATTCAATGTTGCTGCCACAGGAGCCGCAAAACCTCACAAAACACCCACCAGTCCCACAATATGGACAATACATTGCCTGTGGAAAAGGAGCAATGTGAATGTTATTCATTTGCAATGAAGTAACAGCTACTTGGTAAGCTATTGCAGCAGGTAATGTTACCTGCAAACAGCTGACACTAATTTAACAGCAGATATCAGCTGCAATCACTTAATATCTGAACCATGCATCCATCTACAATGTCAAAATACATTTTTTTAAAAAGGAAAGATTTAAAGCCAGTAAACTTCCCAAAGGAAGCACGTCTTGGACAGGATAGAGACCCTTCTCTATCTCTAAGCAGGATAAGAGACCCTCATTTATCTCTAGACAGGCACATTTAGATGACATGTTGATGGAGTCAAGATTGACTACAGGATGTTAGTGAAGATCTATACTTGTATGTATTCAATATAGGGCTGGGCAACGATTAAAAGTTTTAATCGCGTTTCCTGCGATTAACGCGCTAATAACGCGTTAACTTGCCCAGCCCTAATTGAGTAAAAGTTGTTCCTTCAGAGCATGTTGAGGAGAGGACCCGAGCTCGTCTGTTGAATAAAGGCATATTCAACTTACTTTGTGTGTCTTAGCATCATCTTTAAGTCCCGGTCGGCTCAGATCCGTTTGTTTAGAAAACAGCTAACGTTAGCAGATAAAAGTAGCTATGTTCTACTAACATTATACACTACACACATAATCTGCTCCCACACATAAAATAACGTCATTTAAAGTCATAAATACGGCAGCGACAGATATTATCTACATCCTGTGTAACTTTAACATTATAAACTTACCCAAGAGATGTTTCCTGGAGATCCCCCAGCCTTCTTCTTCTCTTGCATAAAAACCGCATGTGCATCAGCAATAATAGTCCCCAGTAATTCACTTCCGTTGTGGCTTTTTTATTTGCATCGCGGCGTTTTTATTTGCGCGGCGTTTCTGTTTCTTTTTATTTGCAGCGTTCTTTTATTTGCAGCACCCTGGCCTCTCAGGGCCACCGTAGGTTTCCCTTTATAAATCACAATCGACTCAAAATGCGGTGCAGCTTTTGCGGGCTTCACGTAACGCCCATATTTGCCTATAAATAGTCAAAGAAACGCCCATTCATTCATTCATTTTGACTGACTTTATGAAGAAGATAGCAGGAAATGACGACAGAACAGCTAAAAAAGACATCTCACACCCTGTCAGATTTTGGTTATTTTGGGGAGGTCGAGATAAATCATATTGTTCGGTGGATGCCGTTTGAACCAGAGTAGCAGCATGGAGGTCGGATCGTCACCAAAATAAATAAATAAGTGGTCCGAAAAAGGTTAATGACAAAAACAATACACATAGCCTTCCTCAGGCAGTGTGTTTGTACCGGGGACAGGAGACACCCCCTTGATGAGAAACTGTAAGAAATGATCGGGGAATCCCTCCGGAGTGGAGTCATGACGACTGGATCTGAATTATGTGTTTGTATTTGGTGGTTTGTGTTCCAGCTGTCGATCAGCTGTGCGCAGCGTCTCCGCTGCAGCCTGTGCATCTCAACCCCCCCCCCCTCCCCGCAGCAACTCTATATCCACCAGTTAAAGGAAATACAACTAATGTGTTGTGTTATATTCGCTGTACAATTTGGCCGAGGCTATATACAGGACGGTCCTGTACACAACGCCAAATGGCTATATACAGGACCGTCCTGTACACAGCTCTCTGAAATGGCTATATACAGGACGGTCCTGCACAGAAGCCCTGAAATGGCTATATACAGGACGGTCCTGTATATAAGGTCTCTGAAATGGCTATATACAGGACGGTCCTGTATATAAGGTCTCTGAAATGGCTATATACAGAACCGTCCTGTATACAAGCTCCGAAATGGCTATATACAGGACCGTCCTGTAAACAGCTCTCTGAAATGGCTATATACAGGACGGTCCTGTGGCTAAGATATCTGAAATGGCTATATACAGGACCGTCCTGCAGCTAACGTCAAATGACTATACAGACCGGGCTATTATAGCATGCTTAAGCAAGTTTCGCGGGTGGTAATGTAGGGATAGGATTCACAGATAAATATTCTCACGACAACATTATTTTCAATGAGTTTCCCCTCAATATAAAATTGTGGCAATTAAATCTCTTTCCATGCCAATTGCTTAGCTTTTTATGCTGATTTCAGTCTTTTTTTGGCTTATCTTTTTATGTTGTTTCAATCATTTTCTACTTTATATTTTCCAATGCACAATGTTTTACTTGTAAAGGATATCACTGCATACTTTAAAGACTACTCGGTTTTATTAAAACTGAAGGTTTTTTTTTTAAAGAATACGCCGACATTTCGTTGACATGTAGTGATTTTGCATTGAAAGCAACACAAATCATTTATCGGCTACGCTGGCATTTTTATTTTAGAAATCGGAGAAACCGTATTTTTAAATTGTATGTAGTATGCTGTACATTTTTGTAATTGATCCTGCTGTAAACGTTAATTGTACACCAATTATATCCATATTTCTGTAGACTACATAAAAAGCGACTCGATTTTTCTGCCGATAAAGACGTGAAAATCCCATGAAATGTCAGGTTTCATTTCTAAAATTGGTGAAGGTCACCCTCTGGTTTCAAACTGGAACACCTTTGATACCTTATCTTGTCATTTCGTAAATCCAAGTGCTGGCCCCTTGCCACAATACAATCTATTTTTACCAGGCAATTAAATTAATATCACATTACATTAACGGTAGTTAGGTTTTGAATTTTGCCTGTGATCAATCTGTTATTGTCGTTTTTGCTTAGAATACTATATATACAAATAACCAAATTAGTGGCAATTTATAAGTTAACGGGTGAGGCGTGTAAACACCGGTTGATCTTCAGCGCTACCTTTTAAACATAACAAGTATTAGCTCTTCCATGAAGCTTGTCTACCGCTAGCAAATTATTTTTTTGTTATTAAAAAACAAAAGTTAATGCCAGTGAAATAATATTCGGAGAATCAAAGCCGTATCGACCATGCTGCAATGAGTTTCATGGTTGAACCCGTTAAAGCTGGTCCATCTTTCTTGTAAGAGCTACTAGTATACGCAATGTGAAAGAGTGCACGTTTCCTAAAAGGGTAGGCCTACGTGGTTTCTAATTATTCTTAATATCAAATAAATTGCTCGTTAGTTCTTCACTTTGATATGAATTATTTGAAATACCAATCCGCAGTTGTCAAATACCGGTTATGTGTACCAAGTAGAATTGTCAATACTTTGATGAAGAGAACTAGTTGGATACGGGGCCATATTACAAAGCTATCTTACGTGCGTATATATTTTTAGCTCATCCGCAGATGTGTAGTCCGACAGGGCAGGTCTTTCCGAATTAGTTTTTATTGTGGAATAACATCAAAGGTATTTAATAAGTTCATACACTGATTGTTCAATTTTAATATTCGGATGAAAGATCATTTCTCCACCAAAAAGGACAATGGTTATTTGAGAAAAAAGAAAGTAAAAGAATTCAACAAATTAACGTATTTATTATATAACAACACAGAGTTCCCAGTTTTTCTTGACCGTCCTGTATATAGCCATTTCAGGGCTTCTGTGCAGGACCGTCCTGTATATAGCCATTTCAGAGAGCTGTGTACAGGACGGTCCTGTAGTCATTTGGCGTTGTGTACAGGACGGTCCTGTATATAGCCACTCCCGTACAATTTACCACATATGGTGTTCTTAGTTTCCATACCTCCTGTGTTTTACGAGCAACTTATCAAGTCTTGGCAAACGGCATAAAACACGATTAAACATGATAGTATATAAAACCATGCTCGTATCTACAACCTATAGAAAAGCAAAACGGCGTCAGTTTAGACGTAATTCTGTCCTCCTGCTTACCGCATCATTTATGAGAAAACATTTCATAACATTAACACAACATATTCGAGGTGGTTTTAAATAACATATCCCTATTTATTTATTTCTCCAAGTTACGTTTTTGTGTGCACTGAGGAGTCTCAAACAGGCGTTTGTTAAATCATTTTAAGATTGGCTTTAATCAATGTGTGAAAATGAATTATTCATATGATAAATGAGAGGTAACGTTTTATTTATGGTATTATTTCCACATATTTCTCTCCATTCTTCCTTCTGCCAACGGAGTTGCAGTTTCTCGTCTCTCCCGTTGTTGTGCTTAGTGCGTACGCATGAGTTAGAGTTTGCGTGGAGGACCGCACATTTTCCCGTCAAGTTAGTATTTTATAAATCGTAAACATTGCGTAGAAACTGCCGTACGCCATTTTTTGAGCGTATATCCCTTTATAAAAGAGGCCCCTTGTTAAACTAATAAAGTATGCGCAGTCATTGTTCTTCTCTCATCCATTTATTCAGGGTTGGAACCAGCAGCATGGCAGTGCTGCGTAATCAACAACAAGAGATATATCGCTCCACGCTTGCTTATGACGTCACAATGGGACATACCATTAAACATGGAGTAAGGGTGCACAATGGGACGTACCATTAAACATGGAGTTAGGGTGCTATTACAAAGTAATACTTAACACCCCTGATCACAACGTTCACACTCTGTGGTCACGAAGTACTCCACTACTAGCCCCCCCCCCCCCCGACTTTCCTGAAGTAGCCTACTCCCCCGTTGATAGAAATCAACACGTAATGAATTAAGACCCCACGGTTTGATGATTGATAGGTGTGTGGGCTATCTTTCATTTTGACACACAGAACAACTTTATAATAAACATACATACTGTAGGCCTATGTGAAATGGATATATCCGCCTTCTTTCATTTATCTTTCCATTCCCACAACAATATACATAAATAAATGGCATATATAATGGCATACATAGCTGTGATTAATCTGATTAAAAATTGTAATCGTTTGACAGCCCTAATTATTATGTTTGGCAATGTTTGCAATAATCCAAAATCCAATGAAAAATCCTTATGGATTTTTGTCTAGGGAAGCAATGCAATGCAAATGCTAATGTTACCGGGACAACCAACACAAATATGTCATCCAGCCTGCACTTCTTTAAAAGTTGGACATATTTAAGTCGGCAGTTAGCACTAGCAAAACAAGTCCGACTAAAGCTTTGAATTCTGTGCAGAAATGATTCTTTACAGCAATGGTCAAAGGTCAGCCGAAGATTGACAAAGACATTAGAGTCCTACGGGAGTAAGACTGACAAAGACATTAGAGTCCTACGGGAGTCACGAGGGAGGCAAAGAGGAGGCAAATCCTATTCTGATTGAGCTGGTGTCTTATTTCTCTTTTCTTTAGTTTTCTAGCCCCTCATGCTATAATCATGTGTATTTTCTCCATTCCTGTTCATGTGTCTTCTCGCAATTATCACTGGCCCCGTGTATCTCCTAATCGATATAACCGGCCTGCTCTCATCTATCCCACATGCTCCACTGAGATCCAACATCTAGTTTCAGGTGGCCTGTGGAATTGCCAGTCAGCTGTTCCTAAGGCTGACTTAATCTCTGGCTATGCCTCCCTGCAGTCTCTGGATTTCCTTGCTCTCACTGAGACCTGGATTACTCCATCCAATACATCCACCCCAGCAGCTCTCTCCACTGCATATTCCTTCTCCCATACACCCAGACCAACTGGCAGAGGAGGTGGCACTGGTCTCCTGCTCTCTCCCAAATGGAGCTTTTCCCTCTTCAAGCTACCTAACTTCACTCCTTCCACCTTTGAATTCCATGCCGTCACAGTAACCCATCCTATACAGTTAACCATTGTTGTTCTCTACCGTCCACCAGGCGCCTTGGGGGACTTCTTGGAGGAATTAGATAATCTCCTCTCACACATCCCTGAAACTGGCCCTCCCGCTGTACTTCTCGGAGACTTCAACCTCCAGACAGGGAAGATAGACGAACTAACATCCCTGTTAACCGCCTTTGCTTTCTCACTGTCTCCATCCCCACCGACTCATAAAGCTGGCAATGTCCTTGATCTCATATTCTCAAGGAACTGCGCTACTTCTAACCTCTCTGTAAACCCGCTCCACATTTCCGACCACTT